TCTCCGTCTCAACACATTAGGGATTCAGTAAGGACCATACATCTTCTCACAGTCATTCCATTTTACATAATTAACGGAACATAACACCCTGTCGTATAAAGCAAAGCGCCAGACCTCTAAGACATTAGGTTTCTAACTTCTAAGAAAGCTGAACACTCAAACTCTGTTTGTCATTAAATCAAATGATCAATAACAACCAGAAAGGTAGTTGAAAAAATAAAGAAATAGAACAAAGGAAGTGGCAGCACAGAGGATTTTGTTGCAATTCCTAATCCTAACCTACTTGTCGAGGTTTGACAAAACCAAGTAAAAAACAACGACGCTTTGTTAAAAACAGAAACATAACCCAGGTGTTTGACAATGGGCAAAAGCGAATTCTCCCCCTTTTTTTTGAATAGCAAAATGAGCCAGGTATAGATAATCGAAGCTATAACATTATTAGTTTACTGTTGGTAATTAACGAAGATTAACCGCAGCCATTTTAGACGAGTCAGCATTATGACCGCATGCATTCTAGTGCTAAGGAATCCAAGATCCATGGCAACCAGGAACTCAACCTTTGTGTGCAAGAAATGATGCACTTGGCCATGAGAAAAAGCTTACCTTAATGCATCTAAATCACTTGATAAAGTTGCAGTGCATAAATGTGGAACTGAACAGAAAACAGTCCCAGATAAAAACATGGTATCATGTCCGAATCCTCATCTTGTAAACTATCTTTCTGTACTCAGCAAAAGCAAACACAAAATAGAGCAACAAAATGGAATTTCATATAAGCCGGAAATAGAACACGACATACATAGATCAAGTTAACAAATCGGATCAGACAAAAAATTACGTATTAAATCACCAAATCAGAAGATATTAAGTCTCGCAAGATCCAAGCATCAAATTAAAAAGAAAGGCCAAGTCAGATCTATAAAAAATAACTTAATCGCCTGTTGCTTACAAATCATAGATCAAAAGAGAGACTTTTTAGAGTAAGAAAGTAAAGTTAAAGAGTAAGAAAGAAGAGACTGACCATGATTGTAGATTAGGAGGTCTATGGATGAATTACTTAGATAAATATCACACAAGAAATACAGAGAGATTTATAGAGGGAGGGAGAGGGGTAGGGGTTTGCTTTCTTCAAACGCCGACTTTTTGAGAGAGGGAGAATTCTCCTCTCTGGTGGAGGAATACTACTTTTTTTTATTGGTCGATAAGAATTCAAAAATAAATATCATGATGAGGGTGCTCATGCGTGACAACAGGGACAGAGTACTTACGGGTCCCAGTTATAATTAGACACGTTGTCCCTCGTGAAAATTCTATTTTTGCCACCTTTTTTTAAATCATCAGCCCAACAGCACTGTTATAAAACCGATCGGCAGGGATTCTATCATGCGTTTGTTTTTATATTTTAAAAAATTATTTTATATTTTAAATTAATTTTTTATTTTTATTTTTAATGTGTTAGCATTAAAAATAATTTTAAAAAAATTAAAAGAATTTTAATTTATTTTAAAATTAAAAATATTTTAAAAAATAACCACAATTACACTTTCAAAGATTTTATTAATTGAGTGGTGTTAATTTATTTTTTAAAATATTTTTTATTTAAAAATTTATTAAAATAATATTTTTTTTAATTATAAAAATTTATTTTTTATATCAATATATTAAAATAATTTTAAATAAAAAAATTTAAAAATCTTGAAAAACGAGTCATACCGTTAACTCAAAGAACTTTTAATCTAAAACTTTTTATTTGAAAATATGATTTAAACTGTATTTCATCAAAATTTAAAATTTATTTTTTATTTAAAATTAAATTTTTATATATTTTTAAATTATTTTGATATACAGATATCAAAAATAATTTTTTTAATATATTTTAAAATAAAAAATATTTTAAATCACAATTACTATCGTACTCGCAATTTTAGATATACACTAGTTTTATAAAAACAATAAAAAGAATTGATTTAGTGTAATTTAAATTTTATATATATGATTTATTACCTTTAACCTAGTTCAAATTTATCAACTCTTTTTAAAGAGAAAATTACATCCTATATAATTTGATTGGCTTTCTTATTATATTTTGAAAAATTACTATATATATCTTGGGTCAATAAATTTTTTTAAATTTGATAAAATAATAAAGTTATCTTTCTATATATTAAACTAAAAAATCAATCAAATAATACTACACGTATCTTCTCTCTCTTCGAGTGAGATTTCTCTTTCTATTTCACCCCCCATTTTCTCTCTATTTCACAAAATTACCAAATCAGACACTTTTTTTTGAGTATGTGAAATTATTACGACAATATTTAATTTTAGAACAGGAGATATTTGACACAATAAATTCGGGTTTCTCTCTTTAAAAATTTCTCCCTTTTCAATTCCAAACCTAAATGAAAACTAAAATCTAAGCGGTGGAGAGGGAAAGAGGGTTATTGCATGTTATCAAAAACATTTATAGTGGTTGGGATTCGAAGTATTTTTAATTTAAAAATATATTAAAATAATTTTTTTATATTTTAAAAGTTATTTTTAATATTAACATATAGATATAATTTAAATATATCAAAAAAATAAATTTGAATTAAAAAATAATTTTTTAAAATTACTTTTAAAAAATACAAATAAACTGGGAGTGACAATTTAAATAATCTTTTTATAATAATATTTTAAAAAAATATTTTTTTTTTAATTTAGTGTTTAATATTTAGGGTATTATTTTCTGGGTGTTGATAGCAGGCAAAATAAGAGTTTTGGGAGTCTGAGTTTTTAGCAAGTTGGTGCGCAAGGGAACAATAAATTCTTAAATCAACTTATTTGTCAGGGAAATTGAAGATTGAAGATTAGGGATTGATTTTCTGCAACAATTGGAGATTGTTAATTTTTAAATAATAAAACAGAAACGAAAAGAATGACTCTCTACGTTAGAATTATCACAACTAGAAATGCACCGGTAGGATGAAGTAGATTAATAACTATTAGTAATTATCTTATTAAAATGATTTTGTTTTGATTTTTAAATGTTAATATATACACTTTAACTAATTTTGTTTGACCATTGGTTATAGTAATTGAGTTTAATAGACAAAATAATAATTGAACTTGACTTGTAGTTGACTCGAATCAAGGAATCAAGTCTCATATTATATGGGATGACACAAATTAATTTTAAAAAATAATATATATATATATATAAGGTTTTAATATCTAGAAAAAATTTTAAACAATACATTTATATGTAGTTAATAAAAAAATAAACTTGAAGTATAAAATAATGATTTAAATGGATGTAGGACATAAAAAAAAATGAAGTATAATATACTTATCTCAAATTAAAAACATAAATAATCCACATGGATATAAATTAAATATTGTTATTCCATGTTAAAAAAACTATAAAACAATTCATGCAAAATTAAACTATAAAAAAGAATAGAAAATATAATATAGTTATTCCATGTTAAAAAAAATTAAAATAATTTATGTGTTGTCATGTATAGTCATTCTATATCAAAAATTTTAAAAACAATACATATAAATGTAGACAAAAATAAAATAAAATAAAATGTAGTGTTGTTATCACATATTGAAAAGTCAATAAAAAATTTATATGAGTATAGGTTATGCATAATTATCTCACATTAAAAAATAATTCATGTGAATATAATGTATAAAAAAAACATATGCATAGTTATTTTATATTAAAAAAACAATTTATGTGAATGTAATGTATGAAAAAAAACATATAAGACTAAATATTTATAAATTAATTTTATATTTTTTAAATTTATTAAAAAATTTGATCCTACTCGAGTTATACTACATCATCCAAATTTAAACAAACAAATTATAAATCAAAGGTTTTACGATGTAAAATCAATTAAGGCCTCAAGTCAACTCAATCGCTAGATCAAATTTTATAATTGTGGTAGGTTAGTAGTTCAAATCTTGTAAATTTTAGAATTATTTAAAATTTATATAATTATTAATTTAAAAATTTATAAAATCAATTAAAATACGTATAAATCAATTTAAATATTCATTTTAATTAAAAAAAATTCACATACATGGTGTTAAGCATCCCTCCAGTAAGAAAGGACGATGCCATTGTTATATATGCAAGGAAAAGTCGAATTCATATAGTACTCTAGAAAAAAGAATAATTAGTTTTTAATATTGTCTACCATTCCAAATATCTTTTCACCTCTTCTTATTAAATAAATTACTTTTATTAATTTCAAGAATTTAATGTATTTTTTTCTTATTTCTATTTATAATAAATCATATACGCGGAGATTTTCATGCTTTATTTATGATAATAAATGATAATTTGTCAAGTTGATGGACCTGCATTACGAAGCTGGACAATAGATCAATAAGTATCATCATATATTGTAAAAAGATTATTGTATATTAAAATCATATAGATTAATCAATATAATAATAAAATTGAAAGTAAAAGGACTTCCCATGAATTCTAGTCAAATGAGTTGAGTTGATTAAATTTTTTGAAAATGTTTCGTGCAAACCTTTTTTATTTAAATTTAATTTTTTTATTAAAAATTATTTTTTATATATATTTTAAATTATTTTGATAAACTAATTTTAAAATAATTTTTTAAAAATAAAAAATATTATTTTTATAAATTTCAGCATAAAAAATATTTAAAAAAAAACCACAATCATACAAAAAAAACCCAATTACTTGTCCATGTTTTTTCTTCGATAACTTTGTACTTTTCTCTTTAAAATTATGTTTGGATATATTTTCAAAATATATTTATGGTAAAATCTTTTTATTTTTATATTTTAAAATATATTTAACTTGAACAAAATATAAAATTAATATTTTTTTAAAAATTCAGTAATTTTAATATATTGATATAAAAAATAAAATCTAAAAAAATTATTTTAATATATTTTAAAATAAAAAATATTTTTAAATACCAAAAACATAAACAGTATGTACTATGTAGTTTTCAATAATAAATTCAGAGAGCCAAAGTATTCTGTGCTCTCTCCCCCTTCTCTTTTTAAAAACGTCGTGGCCAATTTCTCGAACATCTTGCGGGCAAAGAAAACATGGGTTCCATTTAGTTTGGACCTAAGAAGAAGCAAAAGCATCAAGACGTTTCCATTAGTGATCAGTCTCTAGTTTCATCTCTCACTAATTTCTGACTCAAAGAATCGGACCCATTTCAATCTGTTTTCAGGGAAGCGTAGGATAACAAGGGATGCAGTGTCTGAATCGAAGTGTCAGTCTGCCCTTAGCCAGACAGTTATTGGCCCGCCACTTATCCACCAAATTATTTGTTGGAGGTCTACAATTTTCTTTCTCCTACTTCATTTCTGCATGCGTTTTTCTATGCTACCAATATCCATCAATTTAATCCGCGGTGATGGATGCAGGGCTTTCTTATGACACCAATGAAACTGTTTTAAAGGATGCTTTTGGAAAATATGGTGAAATAATTGAAGGTAACGTATTGGCCAGGAGCCCTTGTGGTTTTCCTTATTCTTATGGAGATTTTATAGCCTTGTCTATTTTTAGCAGTGAAAGTGATTTGTCACCGAGTGTATGGTGAATCCAAAGGCTACGGCTTTGTGCAGTTCTCTTCTGAAGCTGCAGCCAGCACTGCTTTGAAAGAAATGGATGGCCAGGCATGTTTTCATTAATTATCATGCTCGATAGCTGTTATCCCCCTTAGCTTGTTTGTTACATGAATCCTGCTTTGAGTGTTGATATTGAGATAATGTGTCATCTATTAATGTTTTGTTCTATTCTCTATTCCAGTTGCTGGATGACCGAAATATCCGTGTGCATTATGCTCATAAGTGGTCATGAGGAGGAGCTTTTGTCTTGTCTGATCCATTACACAGGGTATGCGAATTTCACATTCGTAGTCATAGAGCAGTGATAATATTTGTTGAAAATTATTGGGTTTGTTCCGTCAACATTTCTGCGCATCATGTGTTCTTACAACTTGGAGTGCTTTACTACATGTTTAGATTATAAGTACTTGTTCTTGATATCTTCCAGAACTAAACAGGACAAATTTTTTTGATTTCCTGACAACACTTGGCTATTACAGGTTAGATGCTGCTTATTGAGTGAGGCTTTCCTACTGTGCAATGGTTCACCAAACATGCCGAAAGTAAAAATAGAAACTTCTATATTACTTCTGTATCTCTTCTTTTTTTCTTACCCGATTGGTTTCTTAGAGTAGAAAATAGGTCAGGTTTTATTGGGAGGGGGGTTCAGATGGGGCAAGAGACAAGAATATGGAAGCAGATCCTTTTACCCTATTGGAAACTAGCCTGCAGTTTCGTAGTTATTGTACTTGAAGAGTGCGTGTTGCAAGTCTATGCCTGTATTCAGTTTTTGTTGTGTTCAAAACCCAGTAGTTGTAAGTTAAAACCTACATTTTCTTACAACCAATTTAGTGCACCATGTCTGCCTTACATGTCAGGTGCAAGTAATGGATTAAAAAGACCTGGATCACCATCAAGCATCAGCGTCCCGTTGGATGTCAATTCTCCTGCTAAATTGCATATTAACTAGTCGCGGGTAAAAGAATGAATGGGATTTGAAACAGTAGATAATTGTTGAACCGTGTATATATTCCTTTACCTCAAACATGATATGGTGGGTTATCACAGATGGATGGGCTCAGACTTGAACTGCCAGCAGCATGTCCTAGAATGAGCAGAACCCTCAATGATTTGCCTTGCAAGGATTGGGCTGGGTGTTAAATATAAAAAGAGTAAAATAAATTATGTATCTGGTGAATCAAACACCAAGGTCTAAGAATGATTCACGAATTGGATACCCTCATCCATTATTCGCCTCCATTCTTCAGGTCTGCATAATTTTCCATATCTCAAGCCAAAAGAGAGTTTAAATCCTGTGATCTGCTGAGGAAGTTAAAATCTAGCAAAGTGTTTATCTTATAATGTAATCCATTAGACAGTATGAGGTAGCCTTATCACAGTTCACAGCCTCTGCCTGCTAAAATAAATAGCCCTCTTCATCTGTTAAACCATCACCGAAGGAGCTCAACTTTGAGATTCTGTTAACTGGAATCCACTCAATTTTGCTATTTTGGTAGCATTGGGATAAAACTCGATCACAAGATCACCCCCAAGCACCCAAGGAAACTCTACAATGATGCAACTTCTCCTTTTTACAATAATGAAGTCAAGTTGCTCGTCCGGGCAAAAGCATGAGCACAATCGAGTGCTTAAGCAAAGTATTGAAAGCAAATGCATTGCTTTCCCCCTTCCACAAATTACACTTTCTACACAAATCATAAATTGTCTTACAATATGCTTTTACCAACACTTGGACGTCCATGCCCTCTTGGTTTCCCTAATTACCCGACAGAATTGGGGAAATAAAAGAGGACCGTGCACAATCCCTTCATCTAATATCTGCTGAGAGCTACATCATCGCTCGGTATCCTTTGCAACTTCAACAAAGATCAGCCTTCCATTAACAATCTGTATGCCACAACAGAAATGTGGTAGGTGTGAAAAATCAAATATCAAAGTGCTCTAAATGCTTCAAGTCACATTATTTAACATAAGCAGTGATATAATGAGTTTTGACAGAATAAGGTTGGAGCTCATGTTTCAATTTATGATCGCTTCAACTTAACCATGCATAAAAAGCAGTCATATAATGAGTTTTGAGAGAATAAGGTTGGAGCTCATGTTTCAATTTTTTGTATGCAAACAAAAGAATAAAAAGGATTTAAATCCAAGAGCTGAAAGAAGACCGACAGAGTTAAACAAAACACTTAAGCTTCCCCTTATTTCAGTTTACACAAATAAACAAGAAGAAGCTACCACGACACAGGAGAAAAGGATAACAAAAACATCCAAGTACACGAAAGAGGGAAAGGGCAACAAGTGTATTTGACAGCCATTACGAAACAAGATTTTCCTCATAACTAAGCAGGAATGGGATTGATGTCAAATTGAGAAGAAATGAAGTGGAAAAAAAACCGAGTCATACTGAAAAAACTCGAAAAAAAATATTGGACCGTGCTTCCTTCGAATCCCACTAACCATTGAAAGTATAAGCACGCTGCCAACAACAACCACTCCTGATCCATTCAGTGGTGCATAATAAGAAAAGGTAGCCCTCCAAGCAGATTATTATTATTATTATTATTATTATTGTAATAAAAAATAAAAAAAACTTCTATGCAAAAATTTAAAAATAGTTTTCTTGTGGCACGTGAAAGATCCTGGATTGAACCAATCTATTAAATCTAAACAGAAAAAACTCCTAAGCATATTCTTGCTACAAGTTAAAATCAATTTTGCAAAGGAAGAAATGAGCCGAGGATTACCACATCTGATCAGAAATCTATTTCAGGATGTTTAAACAAGAGAGCAATATGCCAGAGCTAGACCAAAGATTGATCATTGCCCAGAAAACGGAAGAAAATCCTAACATTACAACGGTGAAGATTCAAACCATGGTTAGGTCTTGATGTATACTTTGCTGCTAAATTATCAACAGTGATAGCGTCCATGCCACTTAAATCAGTTCCCCAAGCATGATGGTCTCTTACCCTCTTCTACATGTATGCATGTATATACATATTACAGCCTTCACAAGAAACGTCATCTACAATGGTTAAACAATGCTATACTTGCTTTATAAATAACACCTAGAGTGTCTAAAATAAACCCTTTTTTAGAGGACCAAGACCCATCCCAGCTACACAAGGCCTGCTACCTCACCCACCGTAAATAAGCAGAAAAGGAGCCAACATTGGAGGGTTTTGGTTCAATTATTGCAGGCAACCTAGGGAAAATAAGGTGGATTCAAGAGAGAAGAAAAGGACCACTTCCCCTGCTCTTAACCCCTTCTACTAAGTTTGAGCAAGAAATCCGTGAAGGATAACTGAATTTACAAACACGAGAAAGAGGGAAAATGTTCGACAAGATAATTTAGTGGCCATTAGGAAAACATTAAGAAAAAAAACAGGGAAGAAAGTAGGAAAATACCCTGCCATTCATTGCCTTCAATGCCTTGTGTGCATCAGCCTCTGACTCGAAAGTAACAAAACCAAACCCTTTCGGCCTGAGTGTTTTTGATTCAACAACTAGTCTAGCTACACAGGCAACATAAATTAGAAAATATTTGTTTAAAACAAAACAGATAAAGAATGAAAGGTAATTGAAAGCAAGTGAAATCTTCTTTTACCTTCCGAAACAGCACCGAAGGGAGAAAACAACCTTTTGAGCTCATGATTTGTGGTGTATGATGATAATCTGCTGACAAAGAGCTGTAAGCCCATTCTTTGTGCCATTTTCTTCTTCGTCACTGTCCAGACAAACTGGTGTGGTGCGTGCTTGCAACTAGATAACGGCGTTCGTTCATTGACATTTTTAAATGCACTGCCCTGGTACTGTGTCGTCCCTTTGCTCATACGACAATTCAATCGTTCCCCAAAGGTATGGCCACTCATTGTACAGACGATTGTACAGTAGACGACGAGTAGCTTGGATAAAGAAGGCCCTGCCAATAAAAGGGACCAACTCATAAAAGCCCATTCTTCTTCTTCATCATCTTCTTCTTCTTCTTTATTAGATATTAGTTAGGGGCGGCAAAACTCCTCGACCCGATGCATACCCGATTTAAGAAGGGCAGGTTAGGGGCAGTTTTTTCTCTTAAAGGTCGAGCTCGGGTTTACCTAAAGCATTGTTTATTTTTGCTTATGAAATTATGATTGAATGCGTTTTAAAAGTGTGTTCGGTTTAAAAAAATTAAATTGATATATTTTAGTATTTTGATATGCTAATTTAAAAAATAAAAAATATTTAAAAAAAATACTATATACCACAATACTGTATACACGTAATTAGATTACGAGAGAGGTAAGTAATATAGTCCCTCCCATGAATAACTCGGTTTAATTTACCAAAAACATATAAGATGTGAGAAGTTTATTGTAGCCCTAGAAAGAGTTTATTCTGAATTATAATGGTGCATTGATAATTTTGTTTATCATCAAATCAATCAAAAAGATTAAGTTTAAGGGTAAAATGACTATTTTTATATAATTCATTTGTTATTTTTGTTTGATTGGAGGTGTATATGTTTTTTATTTAGAATAGGGAAATCCCTTTACTATCCTTAAAAAAAAAAAACATTTGACTTCTAGGGACTTATTTGAAAATTGATGTTTTATTGCACAATAAATTTATTAAATTGAGCTCAGTTTCAAAATTAATAATTTTTTTTTTGGGGAGTATTATTGTATTTCTATTTTTTTTATACTTAATTTATTTTAAAAAAATACTATATACCACAACACTGTATACACGTAATTAGATTATGAGAGAGGTAAGTAATATAGTCCCTTCCATGAATAACTCGGTTTAATTTACCAAAATACCACAATACTGTATACACGTAATTAGATTACGAGAGAGGTAAGTAATATAGTCCCTCCCATGAATAACTCGGTTTAATTTACCAAAAACATATAAGATGTGAGAAGTTTATTGTAGCCCTAGAAAGAGTTTATTCTGAATTGTAATGGTACATTGATGATTTTGTTTATCATCAAATCAATCAAAAAGATTAAGCTTAAGGGTAAAATGACTTTTTTTTATATAATTCATTTGTTATTTTTGTTTGATTGGAGGTGTATATGTTTTTTATTTAGAATAGGGAAATGCCTTTACTATCCTTAAAACAAAAAAGAAATTGACTTCTAGGGACTTTTTTTAAAATTGATGTTTTATTGCACAATAAATTTATTAAATTGAGCTCAGTTTCAAAATTAATAATTTTTTTTTTGGGGAGTATTATTGTATTTCTATTTTTTTTATAATTGGATGGGTGAAATGGTAAATTGGTCTTTACAGTAATTAAAAATATTAAAAATTAAAATTCTGAGCACATTAAAATTTATCGAATTGCCCTCGGTTTCATAATTAATTTAGGCTTTTGGGGGTTTTTAAAAATTTTTATAAGGTTTTTTTTTTTGTTAAAATAAAATGGATAAAGAAGTAAATTGCTCTTTACAATTATTAAAAGGTTATTAAAAACTCAAACTTGTCTGGCACATGGCAGATATACAGAGGCGTGTAAAGGTTTAGTGGAGTCTTGGAAGGGTGTGTTTGGAATGTAGTGTAAATTGTGTTTTTAAAAATTTTAATTTTTTTTAAATAATTTTTTTAATTTTTTTTTAAATTAATTAAATATTTTAATATTAATAATTATTAAAAAAATAAAAAAAATTATTTAAAGTAAAATATATTTTAAATTATCATCAATATCACAATCCAGAGAGGCCCGTAGCATGCGAAGCATTATTTGGCGGTTGAAAACTTTCTTCCACTATTGCAGTTGATTGCCCGTAATGTCATCTTCCTCCATATACAACACATGTTGGACCATGATCGGTGATGGATTGTCACCAAAACTATTTTTTTTCTCTTTTCTCTCGTCCGAGATTTGAACCTTACATTGAAATTTTCAGGGTAGTATTCTTAGTTAGGAATATTTGAATATCAATTTTTATTTTTTTGAATTCGTTTTTTTGAATTTTTTAAGTTTTTTTATTTTTTTTAATTGCATCATTTAATCTAAATTTTTTATTTTTTATTTTCTTCATTTTTTCTTATCTTTTTTGTGAATTTTTTTTATTGTTTTCAAATTTATCTTTTAATCAAAATTTTAAATTTATTGATTTTTTTAGATCCAGTCTTTATTTTCTTAATGTTTTTTCTTTAATTTTTTTTCAATTTATTTTTTCAATACAAAATTATCCATCATCCAATTTGATTTTTTTCTTTCAAATTTAATCCTATTCGTTTCATCACTATTTTTTTTTGAATCTTTTATTTATGATTTTTTTAATTTTAATATTTGATATTTGATTTATTGAAATTTAGGATTTTTGGTTTTTTATGTTTAGTATTTTTAATCAAATAACCTGAGTAAAGGGTATAATTTTTTTTTTTACTTATATTATTTTTTGACCTAATTATTCAAGGTTGATTCTTTTTAAAAATTTAGACATCATGGTTTTTTTTTGTTTTTTATATAATTATTCTGATCACATCTTGGATAGTGAGTTTGATAAATTAATCTAAGTAAATTTATATTTTTTAATTATTCTTCATTTTTTCTTGTCTTTTTTGTGAATTTTTTTATTGTTTTCAATTTTATCTTTTAATCAAAATTTTAAATTTATTGATTTTTTTAGATCCAGTCTTTATTTTCTTAATGTTTTTTCTTTAATTTTTTTTCAATTTATTTTTTCAATACAAAATTATCCATCATCCAATTTGATTTTTTTCTTTCAAATTTAATCCTATTCTTTTAATCACTATTTTTTTTAATCTTTTATTTATGATTTTTTTTAATTTTAATATTTGATATTTGATTTATTGAAATTTAGGATTTTTGGTTTTTTATGTTTAGTATTTTTAATCAAATAACCTGAGTAAAGGGTATAATTTTTTTTTTTACTTATATTATTTTTTGACCTAATTATTCAAGGTTGATTCTTTTTAAAAATTTAGACATCATGGTTTTTTTTTGTTTTTTATATAATTATTCTGATCACATCTTGGATAGTGAGTTTGATAAATTAATCTAAGTAAATTTATATTTTTTAATTATTGTTTTTAAATGATAATTTTTTTATTTTATTTTTTGATATTTAATATATTATAGCATGAGATAATATTATTTTTTTTATTTTTTTATCATTCGATATTTTTTTATCCTTTCTTACATCAACTAAACATAATATTTTTTCTTGAAAAAATAATTATGTGGAGGAGTACAAGTTCTATAACAGCTATTACTATCATAAAATAATGACGCAAATTTGTTTTGGTCAAAGAGAGCATGGGGGTGGTATTAGAAATGATAAAGGCGAAGTTATGCAAACACATACACGATACACCAATATTTGGAGACGGTGTTGATTTTCTATAAGAAGATTCAAAGTCCAAGAAGAGTGACAGAAAATCTAAATTCAAAATCTTCCAAATCACAATCACCATTAAAATTTAGATACATAATTCATTGCAATTATTGTTGGCCGCGAAAACCTAGTTGGCGACAAAGTTGGTGAAGAAGAAGAGCAAAATATATGTTACAAGGTACCTTTAGGCATTACGTGTATCTAATTTAATACGTAAATTGCTATTAATTATATAAAAATAGGATGCAAATTGTAATTTTTTTTTAAATGAAAGGAAAGTGTTACCAAACCCAAATCTCTGGACGGTCCAGGTAAAATTTTCTTATTTTAATTAAAAACAAGACAAATACATTCTCGTCATCTCAATGTTATTTTTCAATTAGTGTTGATTGGGTATGTAAAATTTATTCTGCTCCTACTTTACCAAACACCTAATATCACTACTCGACACTGCAACAACATTGATTTATTTTATATATCTGGTATCTTATTTTTTTTAAATATCTTATTTAAAAAGTTATTATTTAATATTATAATTTTTAAAACTCTAACTTATTAACAGAATTTTTATAGTATAAAAATAATTATACAAAATAAAAAATAATTTCACCTCTAAAACATTTTATTTAAAATAAACTATGCTGTTGTTTTTATCTTAAATTATTAAGAATTCACGTCATATTATTATTAGACTACTTATAATATTCTCGATTCTAAGGTGATTCTAAGATGATAGTGTGAATATTTAATAAAAAATATTTTTAAATTTAGTGTTGTGGAAAAGATATGAAATTCTTGATTTTAATGTTTATTACATTACTAAATATCAAACTAAGAAAATTTTTAATTTCAATGTTAATAAATATTAATATATTAACTCTAGTGTTATTGAAGGCTAGTGGAAGTCGGATTGCTTTGAAGGCAGGCTTGTGGACTTCCAGCAATCAAGGAAAGGGAATCATGGCTGTTACTTCTCATCTTATTGACGAGAATTGGATGCTGCATATCCGAATCATGAGGTATTGATTTCATCTTACCAATTATAGATGCTATGGTTATCATTAGTCATTAAATACTGATTATTTTGCACTAATACGACATGAAAAGTGGAGCTTCTCCACCCAATTCAGGAGTTCACTCTCACGAATTCTTTCTATGCCCTTTCCAATGATAGCCACGCCATCTTGAACAATTAGACTTGACATTTGTGCAAAACAATGCAATTAGTCTCTCATATTTTTATATCATATCCGTCTCACTTGTACTTTTTTAAAATTATTTTTTATTAAAAAAATATTTTTATTATTTTAATGTATTAATCTCAAAAATAATTTTTTAAAAATAAAAAAATATTATTTTAATATATTTACAAGTAAAAAATATTTTAAACAATAACTGAAATTATAAACAGACGCTTTATTTATCACAAGAGCTGCGACAATATTTTATTACAAGATCTTGGATTTGGACTGTCATAACCCAATTTTGGCCCTTTGGATTTTAATTTAATTTTTACAGGGTTTAAAATGAAAAATTAAAAGATCAGAGATTTATTTCGATGAAAAGTGTGATTTGTCAACTTTCGTGAAAATTAAGGACTACAATGTGCCT